CACCGTGTGGGCAGGATCGGGAGGCCCAGGTGGATGCAAATCTGACTGTTTCTGATAATGCCGAAGCACTCGTGGGTGCAGCGGCGGCCGCGCAACACAGCCATGGTGCACAAGAGCAGCAGCCTGTATCGCAGGAGCGTCCCGGCATGGATGAGCCTGCTCCCAAAACAGAGGCTGCATCCACGGCGCGAGCAGAGCCGCAAACGGAGGAATGCAAGGCTGAGCAGACAGCCACGGCAGCATTTGCACATGCTCAGAAAGAAGAAGAAGAATGCGTAAATACCGCAGGTGCACAGGGTCAGGGCACGCTCCGTTTGCAACAAAAGTCTTCTGATGCAGAAGTTGTGATGCCGTGCAAAGGCGGAGGTCGAGATGGGACTGTGAGTTCACAGGACCATGGCAACCAACAAGAAGACAGCATCTGTCCCAAACCTGGTCCGACCTCGGCGAAACGGGAAGAGCTGGAGCAGGCAGGTATTGCAGCATTCGCAGCTGTGAGGAGATGTCAGTGTTTTTGTTCAAGGACGCCCTGTTGTCTGCGAACGCGAGCATCAAGGATGCAGGCCTATAAGTGATTGAGTATTGAGCGCTTGTTGAATTCTACTCGTGTCGCGTGCCTGTCTGCTGGTCGCACAGCATCTGGCTATTACGACGAGCTACGTTTCACACATTTTGTGTGAACTTCACTGCAGGACCTGCGGACTCCTGCCAAAACTATGACAGTATGATTGCCTTAGGCACTCGAAACAGAAGGAAACGAAGCGATGGAAGGCAACAGAGCTGAAGCGCCACCCGCCGTGCCGCAGGTGGCCGACCAATGCGGCCGGCGACGGCACTACTACCACTTGCTAAGAGTGCCACGTGACTTGGCTCATGTGAGGACGTTGAGCTGAACTTAACTCTGCTGTGTTCATGGCAGGTTTCGGGTGAATTTAAAGATATTTAAACATTGTATGCCTTGTATCACAACAACTTCGGAGTTCGGAGCCCTCAGCTGCAGTCTACTCCTCCCTGAACAACCCTATGTGGTGGCGGTAGGTGCCCGCCCCCCAAAATTTGCACAATGCGCGCGGAAACAGCGGACGCGCCCCGCTAAACCCGAAAAGCCCGATAAACTCAGGCGCCCTGTCAGCCCTCACGTGCTCCCTGCCAGCCCAACGGTTGACAGCGAACATTCGACGCGCAGCATCAGTCCAAGGCCCCACCCTCCGAGTTCAAGGTTGATAAGACTGATAAGAGTTCTGATTACAGAAACCGGGAGAAAGCGACACAGTAGCTGGGACTGCAGGGTGTCTGCAGGCTGCAACACTCGCAAAAGTACATAGTAAAGGATTGTAGGTGAAATCGGCCCAATTCCAGCGCAATTGCAGGGCAATGTTGGCGCAAACAGCTCCAGCGCATTCCAGCGCAATAAGCACATTCCAGTGCATTCGGTGCATTCAGCACATGGCCAGCCACTGAGCCCGCACGCACTGAAAATCCAGGAGTCCAACGCAAGGACTGCATGACTCTGAACTGTAGTGCACTGCCATTGGCGCCACAACTCTGCTTCTGAGAAGATGGCTCCACTGCGCACTGGGTTTGCCGCTTCAGCCTTTAAGGCGAAGCATTTCCAACCAATTGAACAACATAGTGCGGCACTTTCTCAAGCGATCTTGAACTGCTAGCGTGTGCCGTGCATCGACTCGCTTTAAGGTGCCATACCGGGCCATACCCGACATTGCTCTTCATCGCAGGTATTGAACGCGAGAAAAACACAGACATCGCTCTTGAAGGGCGTTGTTTTGCTGAGCATTCTTGACTGGGTAGCCTTCATCTCGTCTTTTTATTTCACGCCTGAGTCCTCCGACCAAGTTTGAAGTTTCGCGCATTGCACTATCCGGTCCGCGGCTAGCTCTGTCTGCAGAGCTTCTTGTTGTTTTAGTTGAGCGACTCTGCGCCGTCGCCTTTGGCAAATTTGGAGTTTACAGGTGATGGATGTCACATGTGGCAGTGAAATCACTGTTGTAGTTGCAGACTTTCGCTCACTGGTAAGGAATTCAGCGGATGTCCGACAAGTTGAGTTCGAGGCTGGCAGACACCGCAGTCGCGGACGGGAAAGTCGGCAAGCAAGCCCCGAGGTTCCTGCCGTTGCCGAGCTTTGCGGAGAGTTGGAGGAGGCAAGACGCACGCTGCTGATGCGGGTATGGTTCCTGAGTCGTATGTCAGGCGCAGAGGCAAGCTGCTGCAGCAAACGCTGCGCTGTTCGAAGAGCAGAAGGCTGACTGCAAGCTGCAAATCAGATCGCCCTGGAGCTCTGTCTCAGTCGTAAGGCATCGCAAGGGTAACGGAAGCGGTCGCTTTGTTTTCACACGAAAGCATGGCCCTGTGCGAATCAAGCCCTAGCTTCCCACTAAGTCTTCGGGAAGGGACGCTTCATGGATATCCGTGTCTCACAATCCGGGTCCAAGTCTTGGCTACTCGGTCTCAAGCTTGTTGGGATTAACTACAAGTGAGTTCCTAGCCCAGCAGACACGAAGACGTTTTTCTTTAAAGCACCTCGGACAATCGAGTCCGTGACGAAAACCCATCGATGACCAGGCTGCTGGAGCTGCTGCTCAGACAGTGTCAGAGCTGTATGCCAGATTGGACGAGGCGAGATATGTGCGCTGCGCCAATCTACCTGCTGATAGATTGAGTCATTGAGTCATTGGGAAGCCTTGTGCTTGCTTTCGGCATAACTTGTAGTTTCAGTTGTTGTTCGCGGTTGCCATAGTCGTCGGCATCGTCGTGGTGGTCGTTGTCGTGGCCGTTATTGTGGCTGTTGTTACGCGATGTGGAGTGGGTAACATAGGCAGTGAGCAAGGCTCCATGACTGGCTCCACGAGAGCGAATGTGAACAACAAGCGACTGCTTCGAGCTGCCATTCCGTCGCTCCGAAACTTGAGCTTCCCACGGCCTGAAATCGGGTATGCAAGCTGGTTCGAAGCCGCAACACCGGCACGGCAATGGGTCCTTGCTGCGTGCATGATGTCCAACGACACATCACGGTGCCATGCTAGCAGATGCAACACGGCATCGAGTGTTTTCAGAACCTTCGATAATCATACATTTTACAATTGTGGATCCAAGGTGGAAAGACCAACTTTGGAACCTGCCGAAGTTGTGCAGCACATGAATAATATGTGTTGAAATCTGTTAGGCCTTCACATATAAAGAAAGCTGCTAACATGCATCCTATTCAATTACTAGTACGCCAAAGAAAGTTCATTGATGCCAATGAACTGTACAGCGTGAGCGGCATAGGGGTCCCTCAACATCGAGGTCCAGGGCTGGCGGCTGGTTCCCCCCACTAATGCGTTCATCATCTCCATGTCCTCGACCACAGTGGCCCTGTGCCCAAAGGTTGCAGCAACTGCAGAAAAATCAAATCGAAACGGTCGGCAATGCTGCACCGGTCAGAGCACCGCCTGCCAGCAGCATCTAGAATCTAGAATCAACTCATTCAAAGTTTCGCAGCATGGGCTGCCCACCATCACGGCCTTTGGACTGGGCCAACGATTCAGCAATCCCATTGTCGAAATCCTGACCCGATGTTATCGAAGAAGGGGCTTCGTGAAGTTCCTGGTAACCGCGTTGGTGCTGATTGTAAGTATCATCCAACAGGCACTGCGGACATGTGTCACAGGGTGTTAACACCCCTCTGCCCTAACAGCGCAAAGTCAGAAAGTCAAGTTGAAGCCCCCTCGGTCCCCTCGGTCATGGGGTACCTCGGCACCTTAACGTGGCAGCCACAGCTTATACGGGCCGACCATGGACGAAGTGTCTGGGGCAGGCCGCGCAGGAGAAGGATCGCTTGCAGACGGAGTTCTCCACCGAGCAACTCTTGAGGAAGCGGGTAGCCGCGGAACTGCAGGTGAAGAACCTTGCTTGCAGTAGAGGATGCCTTGCCTCTGGACATTTCTTGATCTGTACCTCGGCAGCTGCACGTCGCCTAGTGTATAATGTTAGTTATCCCCTTGCGCTGCAGTCGCAGTCGTGACTCGTTCCGATACCTGACCGCACGCTGAAGTGCTTGCAGATTCATGCATGCTAGGAAAGCTGGTCCCGGAGTGGGTGAGGCAGCGCGAGACTATTGTAGATATGACATGACTGGAGGGTCAAGGCTTGGTATTGATTTGCGACATGGGTACGGTGCTAATGTGTCAAACCGGCGCCTGCGTGCATTTGATGTCGCAGGTAGCCTTGGCCCCAGCCTGCGCAGGTTTTCAAGCTACAACGCGAGCTCTCCAAATCGGAGCATGCTCTGCGAGGGATGCAGCGCCGACAGCTCCAGGAGAGGGGCGAATTGCCCTGCACGCGGCTGTCGCTAAGTATCTGGCAGCATACTGGCAGCAACGGACACTTGCAACGGTTGGCAGGGAAGTCGAGGATCATGCAGCAACCTAGAGTGAGAAATGATAAACGGTAGCGAGGCGCAATTATTCGCCATTATTCGCCTGCGTGGCATGCTGGCTTGGCTTTGGCGATCTCTCGCATCTCATGCTTGTTTCAATCCGTCTTTCTGACATTCCTGTACGAGGCCGCAGCTGGTTTAGCTCTTGCCAGTAAGGTTTCAAACAGAAGCCCCTGCAAAACTCAGACCTGTTTGTAGCTTTTTGACTTTGCTTGCTTGGCTTCCGTTGCTGAGATGGCTCGGTCAGCCGGCTCAAAAATTGGTGGGCACAAATTAGCGCGGGGTCAAGCTCCAAGCCAAGGAAAATTATGAAGGTATGGGGAGGGGCAAGTCCAGACCCACTGTCAGCCTATCCCTGAATTACCGATGCTGCTGATGATTGTGCTTATTTGGATCTTCGTGGGGCGCGGAATTGAGAAACTAGACGCTTACCTTGTCTTGTACAGGTTTGTCACACACTGTAATGCAATTCGTCATCATCGCCCATGCCAAATCGTGGGAGCTGTAGAAGGATGCGCTTTGCAGGCTGTGTCATGCTGCGTCGCGGTGCATAATCCCGAAGAATCTATCAGGCTGCTCTGCACGAGGCTCGTTGCAGATCTGCAAGCCTGCCCTGGCCAGGACCGCCAGGACCTTCAATCATCCTCGAGTGCGGAGTCTCGCCTGCTGCGTACGGAGTACAAGGCGCCACGCGGTGCGACTGTCTGCAGTACTCCCAGCCGCCACCAGTGGGTCGCTAGCATTAAGGCTGTGTGCGCTAATCATGTCCTCCACTCTCTGGTGACAATCATTAACATGACGAGTAGGACCTGGGCCCAACCACCAGAGAGATTTTGACGAGCCAGCCGCTCCTAATGATGCTCGATGAGGGTTGCCAAATCGGAAAGAGCACAAATAGCCCAACGTGCAACATCCCTCGTAACAAACGACGAAAACTTTTCCAGACGAACCCAATGATTTCTGTAAGAATCAGCTGTGCCGCAGTTCGCCTCTCAAAGCAACATGCAAACAAAACCGATGAAAATGATGCTCGATAAGCGTTGCGAAAGTGGAGCTTTTTCGAGTCGCGACGAAATCGATCGAAGTGGACGATACATCGTTTCTCGCCGCCTCGGCCTCGGACACCTCTCGCCTTTTCATGCTCGAAAACACGACGCGCGGGATCCCCGCAGATGGTTATGAAGTTTGAGCTTGTCCGATTCGCGAAAGCGTGGATACCTCCAGCCTTCTTGAAACTGGATCTCAGCTCTTCATCCCTAGGACATCGAAGTGCACGATGCATCGTCTTTTTTATCGAATGGACACCTCCCGCCTCAAAAAAGCCCAAACATGCGACACGCAGGATCCCTGCAGAGGCGCACGAAATTCGGGCATCTCCAAAAACCCGAAGTGCCCCACGCAACGCAAACACCGAAGATTCCTGAAAACCACATGGACGTAACACCATTTCCACCGAAGGTCTGGCGGATTCCGGCTACTGCTCCAAAAAACGTTTGTCCCTTTACAGGCTGGTGCGATTTTCACGCCCAAAGCCGAAAATATTCGCCTAGGGACAACGACCATTTTTTCACATGTCATTCATCCCATGACTTCCTGAAAACAGTGGGCGCCCACGCGTGTGGGTTGCAAACTCGGAAAACCGTCCAACAACGAAAGTGCTTCAGACCTCGGCTTTTACGATGGATCCTGATAGGCGCCAAAGCTTAGTAGCAACGGCGCCACATAACCATTCAAAAGACCCGCAAACACCGCCCCCGACTTTAGCGCTACTTGTTAATTCTAACGCTCGGCTCGACAGCGGCGAGGGCGCCTCGATCGGGCGGAGCCATGGGGCAGGTCTGAGAAGCTGAGAAGCTGCGGTTCAATGGGGGAAGGGCCCTGGCGCTCCGGAGCCCAGCTTCAGCAGCCAGGGTCCTCCCGGGCAGTGGCCTGCATCTGTACAGAGACGAATAAAAACACAGAGCCAGGAAGGGAAGCGGAGGAATGAATGGAGGAAGATGGGAAGGAACAAATGCCACTGCGCTGCGTACTTGTGTGTGTTTCTGGCTGCTTGGGGTACTAAAGAAAGATTTCACGAGCAAGCCATGTGAACGGGGGAAACGGGTGAAAACGAGGGAAAAACTGTTTGAAATTGACCAAAATAGGGCGGAAGGAAGGGAAAGGGCAGGTGAAATTTGTGAGAGGAGGGGCCAGCCGGGGTGGGGGGTCGAAACTGTGGCCAAAAAGCGCATGTCACCAATCTTCTGGGCTGCAGGGAGGAGGATTAGGTAGAGGGTATTTAGTTGAACCCCCAAAACTCGGGGGCCTGTGGCCTCGGCGGACGTATATTAGGACGTAAGCAGGACAGTCTTAATTCAGATACGAGCTGTCCAAAGTTTTTTACAAACTAGATGAATCTATAGTATCTGTACTAAGCGATGAACCCTCCCACGAAGAACCCGACGCCGAACTCTCGGGAATGATGTGGTTCTCTGTATTGTTATCGTGCCTATTGTTGTGTTGTTTTTCGAGCTTGCCCGGAGGAGCCTAAATTCGACTGTTGATGCAATGCTACATTGACCAAAGCTGTGAAAAGAGTTGGGTCAGGCAGAGGTCGCCGCTGCAAAACGCTACCAAAGGGCGGCAGCAAGGACTGGCACTACACTGCACGATCTCACATGTTCTACTTCCAGACCATGTCTCGCCCGTGTGAAGTGTACATTTCTCGAGACCCTGTTTCGATCGACCCTGCCGTAGCATTTGCGAGATGCTCGTGAGAATCGACTTCGGGGCAGCGGACAGGGGCCAGGAGGCAATCGAAACTTGTTGCAGCCTGTTGCATCAAGTGAATGGGTAGCATCATGCGCCATCATGCCCCGATCTGTCCAGGGTCCAGGTGGGTTCATTCGTAGCCTGCCAAAGTTTCTCGTGCGGTTCTACTAAACTTACTAAATCTTAAACATCACGTTCTTCCTGCTGCAGCTCAGCCATGCATTGCTCATGGCTCGTCTGGTGCAGGAAGGTTTGTAGCAGCATATTATGAAGAGCCTGTCGCGCATAAAGGTGGCAAGCGCATGCCTGCTCAATGCTCCGATCGGGTTTACATCGTGCAGCCCGATGCTGAAGCTAGTCCTGCTGTGCAGCGCTGTGCGTCGACTGTAGCTCTTTCGATGGACGTCCGGTGCTCATGTTTGTTCTTCTTGCCATTTGAGGCCTCTCTCAGAGGCACTCCCTGGAGGCACTGCAGGAAATGCTCGCCTCCCGCAGGGCGCCTTACAGAACCGGATCCTTGAAGAGGTTTAGCCGCCCCTCCGGCGCCAACAAGTTTTCGAACCGGTGCCGGGATGCATCACCGTCTCGTGGCAAAGCCCTTCCTGCAACCCTGAACTCACACCTGCACCCTTGAGCAGAAAGATTAGCTTTAGCTCCGAGAAACCACAGTCACGCTCCACATCCCTCTGGCTTCCAGCTTCAAAATAAATCCTTTAGTAAGGCCCCAGACCTAGTGGTGGAAAGAAAGCACGGAGGACTCCTCCGGCTCCGGAGCGCAGCCCGCTGGAAAGAGCAGAAGCAGCTGCAGTCACTTGGTGCAATACGGGGCGACCTTCGCTTCTGCTTTTCGGCAACCTGCGAAACCCGGTTTGGCCTGTCGTGTCTGAGCGTTTCGAGATTGCTTCGTTACATTCCGGGGCTCATGATGGTGCCTCCGCGTACGATATGACAGCTTTGAGTGGATTTTCGTCGGCAGACAGGGCTTGCTTGCTTTCGATGAGGCGCGTGGTCTGCAGCGTTTGGAGATGAGCGAAGCAACCACGAGTTCGCGGCTAACAGGGATCTCCAGAGCCAACACAAAGCTGCGCAGGTTGCTGTCCCTGACTTGTCCTATTGCACCTGCTGTGGAAGTCATGCCTTTGTTGCGCGGCCAGGTAATGCAGTGGTGCAAGGACCGGCTGGCCCTGTATCCTGACCTGCACTGCTTTGGTTTGTCGCTGCAGCCAGGTTCTCCTGCATCGTGCAAGAGCCAGTCGAGGTCAGCATGGTTCTGGGCAAAGGCCGTCCAGCCAAAGCGAGAGTGACCTCGCCTTGGGCCATACAAGAAGTTCATGGCGTTCTACGATTTCCGGATGCTTCACGAATATCTCACATGCCATTGAGGCCTCAGCCTGATTCACGCGGCGTTGCTTCTGCTCACCAACTTGAGCAAGTTCACTACGCCGTGTTGCAACTGCTGGCCACTGACGATGTCCCGCCGTGCAGGGAGGCCACCACGGCGCTGATAAACACGGGTGTCAGAGTGAGTTGAATTGCATAATATTGCATAAACATGCATCCTGTCTAGCAGCTGATTGGAATTTGCACATCGCCAATCCTGAGAGCACAAAGTTTCGAGCGATAGAACTGCTCGACGAAGACATACCCGATTCTGTTGGCATGCTTCGTCAGTTGCAAACGTCAGATGATTCGAAAGGCTGTTTGAGCTTGCGAGGCCGTGGCATCATGATATGAGCCATAGATGAGGCACGCTGCCTCATCTCCTTCCGGAGTTGTCGATACTGGTAGCAGTCTTGTCAACAGGTGAAGCTTCCCTGCGTGGAGCAGCAGGATCAGCTGTGCAAAAGATGCCTGTGAGGACTCACAAGCTTTTCGGGCAGTTTGTGAATCAGGTGGCTTCATGTTTTGCAAGGATGAGAGCCAATGAGAGCATGTGGCTTGGCATCGAAAACTGGACTTGGAGCCAAGCTCGGTGAAGAAGCTGCAGGCTCAGCAGCGATTCAGCACCTGTCAAGATACATGGAATGAGTCTGTCATCTTTCCCATTCGTGCTTGTGCGACGGGAAGGACATGGCTTTGCGCGGCCCCAATTCTCCGAGGAGCTGCCACCATGCTCAGAGAGGGCAACAGTAAAGCAGTAGCCAAGCACAGCGCAAAATGCGCTGAGTCTTTCCGCATGTTGTCATGCACTGGACAATAGAAAACGGAAATTTGATGGAGAAAATTGGATAAGATGGGACTCCGCATAGGGAAGGGCATGGTTTGGATGGCCTTCAGGCGAGACATGTTTCGAAAGGTGATGTATCAGGACAGGCAGATGTTTCGCGGCAGTGTACAACTTTGCACGGCAAGTATCACATGACTTGCAACAAGTACATTTGTTCGCGGCAGCCAATTCACTTGGCGACGTATGCACCGTGAAGCCTCGAGCTTTGCAACCCACGCAGTCAGCCCCGAGTGCCTCGTTGCACACAGTCGAGATCGGCTCATGCAGGAAGAGGATGTCGCAGCCAGCGCAACAGATGCGGCAGCTTCCGTTTGCAAGCGAATCCTGGCAAACCCTGTCAAGCTACATCACATTCCACATTGGCAGTTCCTCGTATGCGAGACACTCAGGCTGCGCCTAGCTAGTGAAGGGCTCATGCCATGATATGCCATGTTCGATTGGGATGAAGTGCCGGACGACATTGCGGACTATGTCGCTGTGGAGCAGCCCGACTCCGACAGGGAGGAGCCCGCCACGCCTGTGAGAGAGAGCGGTGGGGGCGGTGGCCCTGGCTGTCTGGAGCTGGGCGGCGTCTTTCTGGAGAGAAAACTCGCTGAGTCCTCGGCCCTCTCAGCCCTGGTGCCGTCAATCCCCGAAGGGGCACCGGAGCCGACGCAAGCAGAGCTGGAGACTTTGCGATGGATGATGCAGAAGGCCACCATGAATCAGGACACAAATCCCCCGAGCCCGAGTCATTGTCAGCTGCGCGTGTGCCGCAGAGCAGGACATGTTCTTGCTTGGCCCACCCGGGCCGTGATGCCGACTATACTTTCGTATGGTTTGCCCATCGGACACAAGTCGGCGAGCGTGAGCATGTCCGAGCCTTGTCCAGTTTATGCCAGGCGTGTTCGGTTGCCATCTCAGAAGTATCCGGCAGTGTCAGCGGGCCAAGAAAGATCAGCGCATCCTCGAGTAAAATGCACCTGAGGCACCTGGTGCATCACTTCTGTGCCCTTCTCGGCCGTGAGGTACGCCACTCGGATTGAGGACACCAGCATTGACAAGTGCCAACTCAAGTGTCTCTAATCAAGTGAGAGTTGGACACAGTTTCGAATACATATCTTTTCCTGACGTAAAGCGTTGGGCCAATCTCGACTCCGATCACTGCACTTTTTCATCGCGGCGATCGTTGTCGGTGTTCCAAGTGGTACATCTGGTGTATCTGTGCGTGTTCCAGCATCGATGTGTTGGGCATCGTTGTCCGCGTTTTGCTAGGAGCATGTCGGTATTTCAGTCGGTGCGCCGGCCCTGTGCGGGCCTGCATGGCATCAAGGAAGGACTGCTCGAAATGGCAGAGGTTGGACTGGGGCCACACATGGTGTCATTCAAGATAAACAAACCACTGTCCGGATCGGATATGCCTCCTGTGCAGTGCAAGCTGATGTTGACAATCAAACCTAATGCCCGTCCTCCGTCTTCGGACGAAAACTGGCATCGCACTCCGTAGAAAGGAGCGAGACAAATCGGAAAAGCAGCTGGCACAAAGACCCGCTTGCATCGGGTGTAGAGAAACACTATCGGTGGAAGCTTTCACGTCGCTGCGATTTGTGTGTTCTACATCATTGCTGATATTCAGTGGTCAAAACCCGTAGTCGGTTTTCGCTGGCGGACGACGTGCATTGCTGGCTGATGCTCATGAAACCAAACTCAGAGCATCAACTTCGCATGCGCCTTACTCGTCGCGGGTCAAGGTACTTGGAGAGAGCTGAGACTCTGCATCCAGAGTAGCTGGAAGCTGACAGGGGCAGGTCAGGAACTGACTAGCAAAGCCCTTCTGCGCCGCGGTTCCGCCCAGTCAACTGCAGGAGTATTCATGTAATTGTAACACCAGTTCCATCCGAAACGACATACAATGATGCCAAGAGAAATTACAACGTGGCTGTAGCCGCCATTCGGCCCTTGGAGAACTACTCCCGACGATCTGTACAGGTAGCTTTCACCAGAATCTATGTGACAAGATTGCGTACTGAGCGTGTCAGGACACACACAGCTTAAAGCACAATCCACTCTTGACTTAGACTTGGCAGCAGAACCTAGGAAGGCCGGCACCGTGAAGCGGTCTGGGGGAGACCAGAGACTTGCTTACAACGAGGAAAGCCATCAACATTACTGCGAGTGATGCAGTGAATGCCGAACTGGAGGCCGATAGATGATCCAGAAGAACGAGTGTCCGAGTGTTGGATAATGCAGCATGAGCATCATCGGGGTCTGTTGCGCGCTCCAACCCCAAACTCGCGCCACCAAGGCCCGGACAACGGTCTCAACGATGTCCAACGATGCCGACCCATGTTTGCCAGAATACGGCTGGCGAACGCGCGAAAACGCGTCGGAAAACCGCCCCAGGCTTGGACGGCGTCGGACACCGATCACAAGATGTGTGTTGACACATTGTGTGGATGGCTGGGGGGGAACCAGGAGGTGGACGACGGTCTCCGCAGAAATATACGAGCTCGACATGATGTGCGTAGTTGAGATGTCAGGGATGGCCGGGATTACGCATGCCGCGGTGCCAGCCCGGACTGTCCAACCGCTCAGCACACCCTAATCAAGCAAACATAGACGCGGATTTGCCACGAACTCGTGCATGGCCCTGCATCTGCACTGCCTCAGAGCCCACGGTCTTTGTGTCCGGTGCAGGTGGAGTACGTCGGCATCAACAGCGACACAAGCGAGGCAAGGGTTCTCTCAGATAGCATCACGCTCCGCAATCACCACAGCACGTTCTGTATCCTTCCCTTTGCTTGTCTTTGTCTCGGGTGCACCGGACAGGCAGACCTAAAGCAGCGGCGTGAGATTTGTGATGGTCGTCGGCTCGGTGCGTGTGTTCATCTCGTTTTTGCAAAGGATGGGTCGCCAAGCATCGGCTCGGATGTTTGCAGTGTCATACAATTGGTGTTGTCAATCCTCAAAGAGCCGGTGCCACCACAGAGTTGTTGGAACAAAGCGGAACATCTTTGCAACAAAAAGCCTGGCTACTGAAGCATCTGGTCAGTCGGGTTGATTCTTTCTGAGGGGCGAAGCACAAAGACGCGGATCCCACCCAAAGGGCCGAAAGCTCGAGCCCCCGAGAAGATTGCAATGAGTCTTGCGTTTTTTGTTTCGGCTCTCAACGTCCCCAAGTTGCAGCCATAGCCATGGCGTCAGAAGGCGACCGCGCGAACGCCATGGGCTCCTTCAACGTCGGACCGCTTCTGTGAGGGTCTGCTGATGTCGCTGTCCCGAGTAGCTTCGTCCCGGCAGAGGAGCCGAACCGCAACTGGCGGCTGCGTTTTTTCCGGATGTGCAGGATGCTTGATAGCCTCTGGCGACATGCAATCACAGCCGACTTGACTTGATCAGAGGGCGTTTTCCTGAGCTCTGCGTTTTTTCAGCTACCTTTTCGCTATCAGCAGGAGGCCAGGCTGTGCAGAAGAGAGTTCGCTGCAGCTGAGATGCAACAGAGCAGAGAGTTTCCGTCTGGCTTTCTACCGGATTTTCTACCACGGGTTGGCGAGAGCGGAGGCAGAGCGTGATCCTACAGCATCCAAGGTCATGAGCTGGACGTTCGCCATCAACCACGCCACGGTAACAACACCAATATTGTGACCTGGATGCCTAGATTCAGTGAAATGCCTTCTGCTCGGTGATCCCTGGGATCACGCCAATGCTTGTTGCGCAGGTACGCATCTTCCGTGCTGACCAATTCGGCCGGCCAGGCAGGAAATGCAATGCCCTTTGCTCAGGAGGTTCGGGTGGAATGCATTGCTTCTCTAGGCTGCTAGCTACCTGTCGTGCATCCGTTGCTACCGAGGCTCTACGGAGCCACTCTGGTTTGCAGCCTCTTTTTCTCTGCACTGGTGTTCAGCCTCATCGGAGCGAAGAAAGGCTTATCTTTGTCGATGGGGCTGAGCCTTGTTCCCAAAGAAGACAGACTTGTTGCACTGGCGTGGACAATGGTTGGTGGAGCTGCTTGTTGGCAACGTGCCGGTGAGGTACGCAGTTTACGTCGGTCTGTTCGCAACGGCTGCATCACTGTGTGCCCGGCCCCCAGCACGCAGCATCGACTCGCAACTTGTATGCAGCACCGGAATCGGTTGCTACGTAAGAGTTCTGCAACAGGATGCACATGAGAAGTAGAAAGCACCCCATGACAGAGCTCATGACAAGAGCTACATGTTTCAGGCCCTAGCGAGTTTCAGGTCGTAAGTTCAGGACACGGACGTGCGAATTCGGACGTGCCAATGTCTTTAGGGATTTCCAGGTTTCAACATCTCGTTGTTGGATCTCGAGTCCAGAGTTTTCTCGGAGCTGCCGGTCAAGGTTCGGGTTGCCCATTCTTTCCCGGGCTGTCTTTGTTGGACCACCAACCTCATGCAAACGCCGTCCAAGCACCCTGAACCCTAACACCCTCTACAAACCTACACCAGAACCCGAAACGAGAGGATCGACCCAAAAGACGTGGGGAACAGTCGACGAACCTTAGAATCCTTAGAAGGAGTGAGCCCCAGCCGTGACCCCACGAAAAGCCGGCTCCCCCCGAGATCCCCCCGAACCCTACACAGCCTTGAACCCTACAGCACCCAAACGAAACTCGAAACCCCCAATGAACTTTTACGCTCGACTCTGCCAGCTCTTTTTTTCCAAGGGCTTGGAGGGTCTTAGAGTTTTTAGACTTCAGATGAAGGCAGGCCTGAACCCTATCGGTCATTGTGCTTATTACGGCCAGGTTAAGTGAACACCCTGCCATGTGTTTGCTGTTTTGCTTGGGCCAGGGGGCAGGGTGGAGAGACATTGACATGTCACAACGTCACAAGTGGCAATGTTTCCACGATTCGAGGGGTCTCGGCCCTATGCTGAGAGTTCGATGCTGAGAAGCTTCAATTGCTCACAGAACTGAGCCGTAAAACAAAGCTCAAAGCACCAAGCGCTACCAGCGCTTCAAGGCGACATGCAGCGACCAAGCGCCGTCGAAAGCCACAAGCTCAAGCCCCTGCACCCAAAAGCATAAGACACGGGCCGGAGCCTGGGTTGGCACCAGACACCACCTTGGGCGCAAGCAGTTGTCCGTCGCCGTGGTAGAGGCCATGGAGCTGGGAATGTGTGAGCGGCTATAAGCAATAAACACAAGGATTTTCACAGGCTTATGGATGCTTACAAGCCTCGAGTAGAGTGGGAGGCTTAGCGGCTAGGAGCTTCCAGGCCAATCCTTGGAGCAGTTCGAGACCCACTACTCCCACCTTCCCCCGCTTTGCCTGGATTGCGGTCGAGCTCCCCGGAACCGCGGAGGTAGTACAAGCGGTTGTTTGAATGGTATACTTAAAAACTAAACTCCACCGCTCCACTCCCCAAACCCTCCTCCACCCCTCCAGCCACGCCTGTGGGACTTCTAATAGCAGGGTTAAAACTTTCAGGATTTGGGCTGTGTGGCTCGGTTGGTGGAGTCAAGTTGAATCAAGCCATCCGACGGTCTGACAGCCGCTCTGCGATGCCAGACGTCAGACGTCTGTCGGCATGGCCGGACACCTTGGGCCTTCATATTATGCCTTTATGTGACCCTCCAGCGTGTAGACAAACCTAGTGTGTCAATCAGACCCTCGCACTTAGAGACATACCCGTGGTAGGTTAGCAGAACACTCAGGCCGAAAAGGATGCCAAAACTGGCTCCTGCATTGAGGGTATGGACCTGCAGTTGCCAACCATGCTGCTGGGAGCATTGGTAGGCCGTGGGCATGCTTTGGCCTTCGTGCGGGCGGGCTTGCTGGCTTGTGCGTGTGTCACGACAGGCGGCATCGGTGCCGGCATCCTTTGGACATGTCAGGGTGCATTCTTCAGCTCCGTTTGTGAACGGGTGGCCAAAGCCGAGGGGAAGGAGGCAAGGCTGCCTTGCAAGCTTTGGCATCTCGGGCTAGCCTTGCCTGCAGATGCGGCAGGCGCAGGCTGTTACAGCAGAGTTTGCTGGCTCGTTTGCCCTGGTGTTCTTAGCAATGGAGCCGCTGAGAAGCACGGACAGTGCAGCCCGACTGGTAGCTAACAGCGCAAAGGCTTGTGACTGGGTTTCCTCCAAAACTCAGGAGCTTAGTCAGAGCGTCAGCAACCATCCTGACCAAGTATGCCCATCTGGACTACTCGGTGACGCGGCGTGCACCATCGGTTTCCTCTATGCTGCTCCGGCTTTCACACCTTGACTCATGCCTGCCTCATGATGTCTTGGCTTTTGATCCGAGGTTGTCTTTTACATCTTCTGCGGCCTGGCAGTGGCGTCAACTATTGCGTTTATGGTGGCAACCTGAACACGTACTGACGAGTGACTAGTACTTGTAGTGTGCAATGTTGCCGACATCGGCACGAAGCGATCCGTCCGGGGCTGAGGCCTTGGCAACCAACTTTGAGAAGCCGGCCCAGCGTGGGTCAGTCTTTGCGAAGGCAGCGCCGCAGCGAAAGTAGGCTGAGTCTCTCGTGACCGTCTTTGCCCCGAGGTGTTGAGCGCAGTCTCGCTTTGGAGTGATCCCAAGATCTGGGCTCTTCCCTCTGAGGGTCTGTGCTTTTGAGATCGACGAGTTGTCACGACGTTGTCTCCTTTTCAGAGTCCGAGCATGTCCTGGAGCTTCAGCCTTGGACAGAGTTCCGAGGTCCTACAGTGCACCAATTTGACATTCGGATTTGCAGCTGCATGGCTTGGTGGCTATGTAGGGAGGCCGCTTTATGCCGCTTCACTTTAAAGGCCTGCCGACACTGCTGGCAAATGGCAGGAACATCCTCACGCCGGCGCTAAGCAGCGAATTCATCGGCTTCGCCGGCTCCTTGCCTCAGCTCTTGGAGCTCAGAACCTTCGGCGATCTTCGGGTCGCTTGTCGGTCGCTTGTGAGGTGCGATGCTGTCGGGATTGGCGAGCGTGCTGTCCAAAGTGTTCGGTGTGACTGCTGCGAGCTGCCCCCGACTTCCGTACTTGTGCAAAGTTTCTGCAACTTCCCCCTTGCCCTGATCGCTTCGCACACACCCAGGAAGACCGGCAAGGGGCCTGTTGTCGCCTTGGGAGCTGTCAGCTTTCTTCTCCTGGGAGTTCTAAGCAGGCCCGGCCCATGCAGAATCCGTAGAATTTTGCAGTTCATGTCCCAGTATGTCAAATGCTCTCCTTGCCCTGAGAGGTATTTGGGGCATCCCGCGACCTGGGGATGGGGCGTCTTGGTTTCTTGACTGCACCTTAGTAGGCGCAGTGTCATCGAATCGCAGAGCCATGGTGCTTCTCTTGTCTACACATGTCTACACGAGGTGTTCTACGTCTTCATGGGGATTGGCAGAGCTGTATACGAGAGTACGAACAAGGCGATTTTTGCAGATTTCTTCCCTGGGGAGGCTGGGAGATCGCCCAAGCGCTTGAGAAAGTGCTGTGAACTCTTCGACTTGCACGGGACTGCGATTGCTAGGCGAGCCCGGGTGCCTTTGCCAACGTCTTCGTCTTCGGCACTGGTGCGTCCACAGCAGCCTTTATTCTTGGAGCTACACAGCAGGCCTCCTCTGCGACTACGGTCATGTTAATTCAACCGATCTGTCCAGACTGGAACATTTCTTAATCTGGATTCAACTTCGAATTCAGGACGTTAGCTACGGCCCCACGGTCTGGCCATCTTTCTTTTTTGAGTGCTCCCCAATTCCTACGCCGTACCCACAGAACATTCTGAGTCTCCCAACGGTCTCCTGACTGGCTGGATTTTCTGCGAGTGGGAGTCTCAAATCGTTTGTTCTCTGACTCTAGTACACGAGAGTCTGATTTCCTTTTTGATAGGGTTTTAAACATCGCGATTTCCGATTCACCACGTGAATGTTCCCGAAGTGGTTGGGTTCAGGGAGAGCAGTGCAGTATAGAACTGATGCAGAGGGTGCACTTGTCAAAAGCTGCGTTTGATCACATCTTTCTGCGGGCAGGACGAGGCAGAAGATTGGCTGCTCATCCTCTTCGCGATCTTGACCATCCCCGGCTATCTCGTAGCCTCGCTCATCAGCAGAAAGGAGGCCTCCACAAGCCACTGCCTGCAAAAACTGCAAACTCGCTGGCCATGCAGGACGGTGAAACCACTGACAGCTCCTCATGCTAGACTACCCAGACTGAAATCGCGCAGATGGCTGCGCTCCATGGAAGAATCATCTGGTCTTTCAGCATCGAAGCCGCTTGTGCATGCTCCTTGGTGCTGTGGTAAGGACGCCCGCTGCGTGATCCGCTCGTGGTACAGATGCACGAATATGCGCCAAAGTGACAAAGCCAGCAAAGCCTCTGTTCCCTGCCAAGGGGGCCGTGGGATCCAGAGAAGCTGCCCGATGTGTTTGCTTTATACTGTCGACTTCGACAAAACCTAGGAACAGAAGCCAAATTCAGCAGATGCAAGGGCTGCTTGACCTGCAGTACAGGAGTCGCTTTGCTCTTCCGAGCTGTTGGGCTCAGAGTTTCACCTCTGGCGCTGCTTGTTTTCCGGCAATTTAATGCTGCCTTTCGTTTATCGGACACCTTCGCAGAAGCTGTCGGAAAACACTCGAAGCATGAGCTGTAGCCTCACGTCAACATACCATGCGAGAGAGAGCTCGACTCGTCAGAATAAGGCCATGTTGTCTATGTGGATCAGCCGTGCGAGCCCCACAGGAAAGCATATTGGTAAGTAGCTGCAACCGCCGGCACCGTCTGTTTGAGCAATGTCAGAACTTGGCACAGGCTGGTTGCACCGGTTTCGTGCCTTCTCCGCGTCTCGAGGCCTGTGCGAGCTGCGCTCCACGGTCGCATTCTGGTGTGGCCAGCCTGCAATATTCTTGCAAGAAGCACGAAGATTCACCACACCATTCTCGGGTCACGGCGTGTGACAGCCAGAGGCTGGAGGGCATAGAGAAAGCCGAGCGCAATGTCCTGTCCTTACGCATGCAGGCAAAGGGGACAGCATGCAGACAGTAATCTCAACAACACAGATGTTATACTTGCAAAATTGTTGCTGAGGTTCTTTCGTGACATTCTGGCAATGTCTGCGCAAAAGGTTCTGTAATACATATTAACTGACCCTGAACACACTGCGTCCCGCAGACACAACATTCAGGAAGATGCAAGTGTCTCGAACGAAAGAACTGCACAACACAAAGCCATTGAGTTCTGGAGAGTGTGCACATGTGGTATGCTCTCAGCATGATTGCCGACAGATGCTGCTGCAAGGAACCTTGTATTGTCCGGAGCTTTTGCATGTTGTTGTGCAAGTCTGGGCTAGCAGCAGGCACTCTTAGGACTCCGTGCGCTGACTCCGTGCGGCAATGGCGGCGATGGCAAGTCTGGGCAACCTGTTTGCGCTCGCCGTGCTCGCAGGACTGGGGCTGACGTGGGCCGAGCCAGAACCCAGTGATGCTTTGACTCGCGACTCCGAGTGCGAGCAGGGGCAGTGTGCTCTGAATGCCCTACAGCCCCTGGGATTGCACTAGTGCAGAATCTTTTCTACTCACCTGCAACGGGCATAAGCGAAACCTCGCAAAGTCACGATGAATGTAAGGGTTGGTAAACGACTCTTCCGCTTTTGGATTGGTTTCGAGCCTGGTGCCCCGCCCCCCAGGTTGCAAAAGGCGGCTGTGGAAGAGCATAAGGATTCCGCGGGAGAGAATGAGTCTGTGGAGTTCAACCTTTACGGCTATCATCACTGGGCAACCACCACAGTTTATGGAGATGCGCCACGTGCAGCTTGCGGGGGGATCAACACCGCTCAGCTCGTGAGAGGAACACCGTACTACAACGTGGCATCGGCTCAGTCGATGTGGCTGAACTGTGGTGGAACCGGGAGTTGCTGGTGTGGCCAGAGCGGAGGGGGTGGGGGAACTACCGGAATGGGTTGCTTTACATGCGGCAAAGGCCGCTTCCTTCACAGTGCTTATGGAACGCGGGGAAAGGCTTTGTGGGCACTCGTGGAAGAGGAGGCTAGCAGCACTGCTAGCATCAGCTCGAACTCAAGCTCGCCCTTCGCCTCGGGGGAGATCGTCTTCGTAGTCGGTGACCTGTGCCCCAGTGCAGGGAACGAGGATTGGTGTCCGAAGCATCCCGGAAGGCGGAACACCTATGGATCCTTTCACCACCTTGACTTCTCTCACTATCCGTGGAACATCGACACACGGCGCTCGGTGCCAAACCTTAATTTCGTCTTCAGCAGGATTGAATGCCCACATGAAATTCGGGAGCGCCAGCAGCATCTGTCCAGGTGCAGGTAGCACTACGATGCTACGATAGCACACCTCACTCATTTTGCCGTCTTGATCCAACTAGAAAGCCTGTCGCACCGCTGTTTTCCGCATAGAGCCCGAGAAGGCGTAGAGATCGTAAAGTTGTAGAGCTTCATCTAAGCAGTTGGGTTCAACCCATGCTGCTCCACCTTGCCAGACCATGACAGTGCTGAGAGGAAATCACGTTTTTCTGGGCAACATGCATTTCATTCTGTCACAACCTTGCCGATGCCCAGCAAACGTGCAAAAGGTCCTGCCCTTGTTGAACAACCTCCTGGAAAATCGAGAGATGCAGCTCGAGGTTCTGTTGGTGCTGTTCCACTAGTTCTGCTCATGGGCATGTTTCTGCATCCTTGCATATTGATACTCTGCATGGCTGCAGGATGGGCGGTTTCTCAGCCGATTGGCAACAGGACATCATGTTGTCAATGTTCGTGCCACTCCCTAAACATATTGTCGGAACGTTGAGAACTAACTAGGCCGGCACTTCGTTCCTGTCAGAGTCGTCGAGATTCCTTGAAGCTTTGCATTCCCACAGAAGTGAATATGGTTGCATTTGTTGCTGGTTGTGTTCCTCACCTTTGCAAGTCTGCCTGATGCTCGCTCAAGACTTTCGATGAAGCCTCCCCCTGCCGTGGCCAGCCGAGCTTCCGCTTAAGCAGGCGAATGCAGAGGGCATGGCACCGATGGCACTGTCAAGGACGGCTGAAGACAAGTCTCACAGGTCGCTTGAGCACGAACAGTTGCGACAAGACAAGACAAGAGCGTGGCCCTGGCAACGTTGGAGCAGAAGTGAGGGTGCACCAGGACTGTGAGATGGTTCGCGTTAGCCCAGACTTCCTGGTCATCGCCATAGGCCGGTTCTGCGGCTTTCCAAAACTCGTTTGGTTGATGGAAAGTGATGAAAACGTGTTCGCTGTCATCGCCACAAAGTCTGAGAGACATGTCCTGCTGCGTTTCGTCACCTATGCATCTTTGTGACAAGCAGTCGCTTGATACCACGCAGGCATGCCATGCCGCGGGAATCCGTTGGATCCACCACTGCAGCTCCCTGAGTCCATGTTGAGCATACGCACACATACGCACACTGTCTCCTCGCACATGCGACATTCCCCGCCGCAAGGTGAATTGATGATGTTTCGGGGTTTGGGTTGGAGACTAGCATGCCTGGGTACTATTGTGTGTGTAGGGTCTAGGCAGGTTTCGAAGCCTACCTGCAATCCTACAACTTGGGACGACGCAGGCTGTGTCAACGTAGCTAGTCTTGGAGACGCGAGTCGAATACATACGCTGGGCTTCAGCTTGTCTTCATTCGAGAACTTTGCTGTTTAGACTGAACATGTGCATTCTCCAACTGCGTACTCAAGTTTCTTCCAGAGGTGTGCTGGCCGTTGCTGGCCATTCCCTTCCTTTAGTGAACGATGCTGATGCTCTTCGGGAGTTCCATCCCCGTCCCGGGTCCTCGTCGACAACTGAAGTCTAACCATGTAACCATCGTTTCACAGTTCCTACAGGTACTGTCTTTCCCAGGTGTATCTCTCTCTCTCTCTCTCCCTCTCTCTCTGAAATCTCAGGTGTGTCTGTGACTTATGTTCTATCAACTGTACAATTGATTTCCTATTCTGTCACTTTTGATGTTGGACTTCGCCGCGAGGTAATAATGCAAAATACGGACAAAAATCATGTTATGCTCCGGATCAGTTGTCAGCCAAAACCATTTCCCAAGCTCATCCGACAACAGACTACGACCGAGAAACAGCGGACGAACTGACTATACGTTACGTGCATCCGTGTATCGTCGCAGGCTGCAGGAGCTTGCATCGCAGCACGCATTTCCACGGTTGATTGCTCTGCACTGTAGGCGATCTCGCTTCGCCAGCCACAACATCCATCGACGGAGGGCTGCAGAGGCATGCATCGGTCTGGCATCAGTCTGCTGCAAATTCGCCAGTGTCGCAATGCCTTGCACTAGCACCTGATAGGGGTCGGCATTGCTGAGCAGGCTGTGCAGGATGCCTCAAGGCATGTTCCTGGGGTGACGGATGCCATTGTCAAGAAAGTCAAAGATGTGCTCTGATTGCACGAATGCACAAATCAGAGTGTTTGTGCTTGTGAGTCGAGGCATGATCCACACTGAATCTCATGCTGTTGAGGTGCTGGAGGAGGTCGAAATCAATGCCATCAATTTGAAAAACAAGGTTTATGCTGAAGCAGTCGCTGATGCCCCCAAAACGCGTGTCTGCAAATGTGCCTTCAGGGTTCGCCGATCCCAATGACGATGCCTGACAGCGCAGCCTCAAGCATGCTGCGTCCGCAACCTCGGGCTGTGCCTTCGCGGTCCCATGTCGGACTCGTGCATTACGGAAGAAACGGGTGCAGCCTGGTGAAGCATTGCGGCTCGCGAGGTTGTCATCGGATGTCATCGGTGATTCAGTTGCGTGAGCGCATTCGGAGGGCAGCTAATGTGTCCGTCAAGGGTTTGCGCAGGAATCGTTGAGACGTAGGAAAACTATTCCGTGTGATGCATTCTCACAGCCATGGCTGGGCTATCGCATGAAGATGCCAAGAGGCGAATTCAGAGGGGCGCCTTTCATCGGGAGGCACATCCGTTCAACCTGCAAGATTGGGGGCCATCATTCGCGCTTTCATGCCTTGCTGGCCTTGCAGCTGCTGGCAGCATCTTGCAGCATTCTTTTCTGGAGGTGGTGCTCGAGACGGTTCGCCAATACGGAGACCTTCTCGGCTTTGCACAGCAAAAATACCACAGGCCTCCTTTGTATCTTGGCGACCAATTGCTCTCCCTGTCTCTCTACCAGCTGCAGGGATCCTGAAGTGGTCCTTGCAGCCGTCGCGTCAAGCAGCTGGGCGATGAGATATGCTGCTTGACGGCTTCGGGGAATCAGAAGCATTTGTGATGGAAGGAGCAAGGTAGAGATGTGCCATACACACGAAACATTGAGGTTGACCAGAGCCTTCTAAATGACGACAGCTTTGTGCTGCAGATTTTGCGAGCCAATCCCTTGGCCCTGCGATTGCTTCCGGAGCTCGTTGCAAGGGAGAAGCAAGCAGGCTCAGGTCTCAGATTCTGGGCACCAGCACGAGCTCCGCATGCTCCGCTCGCCAGGAGCAGTTCCGATCGGATCGAAGCTTCGTCTTGGCCGCCGTGACCGGGGACGGGCGCAGCCTCGCTTTTGCGGCAGTGGAGCTGCGCTGCGACACGGGCTTCGCTACAGAGGCTCTAGATGGCTCTGCAGGGAGTGACAAGCGGGGACGGGCTTTGCCACAGGCTGTTCGAGCGAATCCGGATGCCTTGGAATTTGTGCCAGAGCACTTGAAGGCCGGAAGCCGCATCACGTTGTCGGGTGCCTTATGGTGCCGTCCTTGTGCAGCACCTAGTCAGCTTCCACTGACGATTGAGAAGCAGGCTGAAGCCCTTTTGTGTAGCATGGCATGGCCGCAGAGAACGGCGGAGTGACTATGTGTTGCCGCATGCATCTCGCATCATCGAAAGTGTCAAAGACATGTCTTGCCCACAGCAAATTTTCGAGTTAAATGTCAAAATATTGAAAGGTGAAATTGCGCTAGAAGAGGCTTTGAAGTTGCAAGCTACATGGATGGTTGGGTAGGGTGTGCTTGCTCTTATAAACATGTAGACATGGGTGCACTCAGCCATTGCGGCTGAAAGAGAGCACCAGTTTTTGAAATTCCACCATAGGCATGGCTTCTTCGCTTAATCTGCCTCCGGTGGTTCTGGTGGCTCTCTCTTGTGAGGCTTCGCGGGTGCTCCAAAGCCTAAAAATTGCATGCCTGGATGACTTTGCAAA